CCCCAAAACCCCAAAACCCCAAAACCCCAAAACCCCAAAACCCCTCTGCCAAAAGACACTTTTGAAAGCAATATAAATGAGATTAAACATTAGCTTAAGATCTTTTTCATCTTATACTCCATTGGCTGATTTCTCTTTATATTAATAAAGCTAGTATTGATCTCTTTTTGACTGACTGCAACTTCGTCTAAGAACATAGAATCTTCTATATCTGCTGAATCATCATCAAATGTATCATCAATGTTCTCATTCCAATCAATATCTTTTACTGATGCTTGGTTTTGGACATCAGGCTTCCTACCTATCAGGCCTTCTTTCTTCATTGAGTCTGGACATTCGACTGTATTGTATGGGTCATTTATTAATTTATTCTTCTTGCTTGAACTTTCTTCCAGACTTGTTAGCTTTGCCTTCAGAGCAACCTCTTCTCCATTATCACGAGGACTGAAGTTAATATTCCCGCTGTCATTATTGAATCGTTCTTCTTTAACATCTATGACAAATTTGGGGGATAGAGAAAGGTTCTCGTTCATATCTCAAGCTTTTTGATTAGTGGGCACCAAGTCATTTTTATTACCGGATTTGTCATTCTCCTTTCAACCAATCGGACTTTCTTTATATCCCTTATACTCAGTATTTGGCCTCTTGACAGTACTCTGGCATCCACTTGGAGGATTAGAGTAAGATTGGGAACGGTTATTTTGGGCATTATTAAGGTACCTGCTTCTCCTTGTTTTTGAGCTTCTTCTTGACTTCATCTTTTTCCAATAGCCTTTTAAATTATCAATAGGACGTTTCTTGTCAAGAGTATTTTCAGTCATATTCTCTTTCCCATTGCTAGAAATAGATCTAGGAAAAGAATTGACAGCATTAGTCTCTCTTTTTAGCCCTTGAGGAGTGTTCTCAGTAACTATAGGAGGTTTTATCTGTTTATACAAACTAACAGGAGTCCCCTTTTGACACTGAAGTTCTTTAACTTTCAAGGTTTGTTTTTCCAATTCTTGTCTCAGGCTTTGTATTAATTTACTATTTTCATCAAGTTTATTTTGCTGATCTTGATTCTCTTCTTGTAAGTCTTGATTTTCCTTCTTTAAGTTTTGTATAATAGTTTGGTACTGATCTACTCTATCACTATACTCTTTGTTAAGCCTATTTTCAGTTTCTAAGATCTGATCTTCTCTTTCCATAAGTTGGGAGTCCAAGATCAAAGCATATTCTTTTTCCTTTTCATTTAAGGAATGGGCTAGTCTATCATCAAAGTCTTTTGTTATTCTTTCAATTTCTTCGACATGAGCTTTCTTTATTTTCTCTATTTCCCTCTGAAGCTTGCTATTTTCTTTCTTGTATTTTAACATATCTACTGTCTTATCTTTGGAGCTATTATGGCTTTTGTTACTGAAGTCTATTGATGAAATAATATAAATACCTTTCCTTGTCCTTTTAAATGCCTTTGGAGCGATATCTCTTTCCTTTGGAGTTTTTAAGACATCACTTTTATCAAGTGCACTACATGAATTGTTATCCTTCTGAGTCTCTGAAGTATCACTGTAACTTCCAGTTGAAGATTTTTTGCTCTTCTTTCTCTTAAAAACATTCATTTGTTCTCTAAAGATAATGATTGAGATATACTGTTGAGCACTATTTTGACTTGGGCTTTGCATTTCTCCTATCTCTCAATGCTGATAAGGGCTATATAATTATTTTCTTAAACCTACTCAGAGTCTTCTAGTATTGTCTGTGACTGTTTTAAAGTAGAATTTAATTCTATTCTCTGAAACTCATGATCTTTCAAAGTTGGGTCGTTAATAATAGAAATTTTACTTTCTCTTTTAAAATTTTCACCTGAATTTGCAGATTCTTCACTCTGCTTAAGCTCTTCCTCGAATTCACTAAGACTTTCTCCTGAAGGAACATTGTTATGAATAATCATGGTGTTTTCATCAGATGTGTTTTCAAGAAAGTGAGAGCTCAGAGTTTGTCCTAATTCCGCTTTTTCAGAACATTCTTGGTTTTCATCCTCACTTCCAGCATCAAGGTTTTCTGTTTGGGCCTGAGCATTATCAAATATGATGCAAGTTTCACCAGTTGCTTCTAGTAAGTTGTTCCTTGTATCTTCTTCATTGATAGCATGACTATCTTCTACCCCTGCAACTAAGCGAGAGATGATTGATGAATTCTGAGAAGAAAGTATCTCAAAATTATCGTTAATATTTGTATGTATTCTTAAATCCAACTTTCTGGGCATAATCACACTTTGAGGCTTCTCTACATTCTGAGTTTGTCTTAAGATAGAAGACCCTCCTCTATCACCTCCTATAATAGACTCTTGATTCTCACTAAGATCATTATTTAATGTAGAAGGAGAGCAGAATTCAATTTTAGCGTCTTTTTCAGTATCTCAGTCCAAGAAATGTTCTTCTGCAAGCTGAACTCTTTGAACTTCAAATCCAAGTCCTGGAGAATGACTCATGTCTAATATTTGCTTGTTGTGATGAGAAGGATGTGCATCTCCTTCTTTATCTTGATAGATAAAGTTATTATCCTGATCTTGTTCTAAATTAGAATCTTGGTTATTGGCATCAAGCTCAGAATTGGGTTTCCTCTCTGAATTCATTTGAATAGAATGCCTGTCCATTTATTTAATAATTTTAAAAATTTAAACTCAAATTAACAACTACGAAAGGGGTTTTGGGGTTTTGGGGTTTTGGGG